AATCATTAAACATGTAATACGCAGATATAAAATAAGCGAACACAAGGGCCATCTCCTTTGGTATGAACTGGAATTGGAAACTCCTAACCTAGAACTAGCGATGACCGAGTGACTAGATTAGTTAGAGTAACCAAATCGACTCGTTTCTTATTAGCACGATTTGACACGCCTAATTACGTCTTTGGGATATTGCGCTTCAGCTAAGAAAAAGATAGTATTAAAAATAGTCTCCTAATAAATACGAAAGCTTTGGTATTTAACATGTTTCTAGAAAGGACGGGTCATATTAGTGTATGGCTCCTAAATTGGTCAATGCGGTCTTGAATGACATATGTGTGTTCCCGGGCAGTGTTCGAAGGGTGCAACGAGGCGTATCAAACCGGTATTCGGATCCGACGAAGCGTTATTGGGTAGAACTAGAGAGCCAAGTTAGAATTCAACATGCTCTAACATCTACCGACTGTGACAGGAGTGGGTATGGTAAGCTTGATTAGGACCTACCTAGTTCAACACCGATATCTATCTCGAATTTTGTGGCTATTTGTACGGACCCCTTAGATATAAGCTAGAAGCTTGTCCTTCTCGAAACTTTCATACATGAGTCTGCCCTATCAATGTAAAGGAAAGGAGGGTGAAGGGATAGTTGGTAAGGTTGAAACATTTGATGACGAGGCACGCGTATTTGTTTCGTGAAGTGATCGTCGCCGGCGCTAACTGATTGAATCTTTCGTGACGACAGCCGTATGACCTCGTCTAGGATAAGGCTTGGCTTCCGCGAGGCCACTTATCTTCCAGTCGGAAATTAGTTGAACTAAAATCGGTAGAGAATTTGATAGAGCTGGACCAAAGCCAAGCAAAGTGATGCGGCTCGCCAAGAGGACGTTGATACTCTTGGCATTGGGATCTCGTTTCATCTCATCGTCAACCCCGGAGTTCCACTACGACTCTACGCACAATTCGAGACCAAAGCACCTAAGCACAAGGTAGGGTACTCCCCCATCGTAATAGCTCTAATATATTCTAAACTTGGTTTGGTCGCGACATGGTACCCATAGAAGAGATGTCGATCGTCTACTGTCGTGTGTCTAATTACCGCTTCCGGGTTTCTAGTTAGTAATATGTATATACCTACTATTGATCTTCCCCCAAGACCGTCCGTCCCTTTCTTCTTGATCTAATGCTCCTTGGCGACCCAACACCCATACCTTCAGGACGAGTTGAAGGGTAGTTGCTCATCGACATTCGCGATCCCCAGTCGTCGAAGCACGATCTCTCCTCCCATCATCGATCGACTATACTACGGTGTTAGTCCCTGGTGGAACCACGTGTAGTAAAGTATCAATCGAGCCAAGAACACCAAGAGGACGCGGGACCGGCTTACTTGTCTCGACGACAGTTCCATTCGTTTCTTTTCTTTTTACTTTAACTACCTACACATAATGCCTTATAAGTTCCCCAAGGCTATCAGCGCAGTGCGCGTTGCGACCTTCGTTAGCACTGCCGCCTGGATCCAGGGTACCAGCGCCAGCGAGGTCTCGTTGCCGGAGGAGGCACTTAATAACTTCCTCCGGAGACACAGGGTTATAAATACTTCGAGGAGACAGGCGCCCGCACCCGAGGAGGAGAAAGAAGACGAAAAAGAAGAAGAAGAGGAGGAGGGCGAAGAGTCGTCAGATAGCGAATCATCGGGATCTAGCGATTCTAAGGAGGAAGGGGAGAAAGAGGAGAAAGAGGAGGAGGAGGATGATGCCCCCAGCATATCAGACCCAGCCCAAGCCGGCATCGCCCTCGGCCCCGCGGGACGACCAGCAATCGGGACCACCGAGCCTCCGGGGAGTCTAAGCGTAGGAGCCAGGGTAGCCATCGGCGTCTGGTCAGCAGTAGGCGTCCTCGCCATATTTGGCCTAGCATTTTTCTTCTGTCGACGGCGGAGGAGAGCGCGGATGGCACAGGAAGAAATGAATGCATTACGGGACGAGGAACTCGCAAGGTCCCACCAAGAACACATGTCCCAAATAAGCATGCCGCTACCACCACCGCCGCGGCCGCCGCCTCCTCCAGCACCCCCGATGATGGAACAAGCACACCTGAGAAGCGGTAGCGACGCCGGTAATGTCCGCCCGCCAAGCGGAGAATGGATGGCGACGCCGCCGTGGCAAGAAGATCCACCGACATGGCGAGACTCGCATCCATGGAGACAGTCTCAGCCCTCCGTCGCCGGGGGCGTTCTCGCAGGGGGTCCTAGGCCGCTCTTCGCACCGCCAAATACGAAGCCGGAGTACGACAGACGCACCGAGGTTACAGGCGAAACAGAGAGCACAATATTCGCGTATCGGTAGGGATGATTCCGAGAGAGACGTATTCCTTGAAAGTCGCCAGGACTGCGCATATTCTTACCTTCTTGAGCGCTACTTCTTGTACTTATATTCGTCTCGTGGACTGAGTCCACAGGTTAGTTCGTTGCGCCAAATAGTTCGGTACTAATATCATTTGTTCTCGCATATGGTCTATGTGTGTTGGCTTTGGATGCTGTTGATTTGAACGTGAGCTACATACTTACCTACTTCACCCTTATGGCCTCATTGCTAGAAATTTATGCTGCCACACCAATCTTGTGGGCGAAGATATCTTTCTATACTAGTATCTATCAGTAACATGGGAGCATGACAGCTTATATGATATTTTTTTTAGTGCGGCACGAACAGGTTATCACGTTGTAGGAGTTGTATTGTGAAACCCAAATTCAGAGTCGTAGTTCTACATCGACAGAGCAAAGAGAAGAAGCTAAAACGACAATCGAAAACAGAAACATTGCCAATTATATAACTTCTCGACTATCTGGCTGGCTAGTGCGTCGCGCCAAAGGTATCATAGTAGGTTTTTTTAAGACCATTACACCGAACTGAGAACGACCCGTGTTCCCTGACGTTATAAGGAGAAGAGAGGCTGTAGGTAGTTTGCTTTACCGTAGTAACCGTCCTTACATGATGACTTCATTAGCGACATCCTATTCAGTTTGTTAGCTTGATACCATATAGCAGCTTTAATATTCGAGATAGACTTGTATGACATACCCTTTTCAACTCCTTAAAAGGCAAACAGACACAGTTTTGTACGCGAACTTCGTCACCAACCCCGCATTCCTTTCCTAGAATGGTGATGCTTTGCACCTTTACACCGTTCTTGATAATGCTGGTGGAATGGCTTGTGACTGGTGTGGGTGTGCCTTCTACACGAGCCCAAGCACCAATTCGGCTATTCCAGCCGACGATTGAGTACAACACGCAAGCGTCATGCTTAATTTCTGCGTCCTCGAGGACAATAGACTCCTTGACTCTTGCGCCAGGTCCGATGACCGCCCGGGGTCCGATAGAGACATTAGGTCCAAGCTTAGCAGTGGGGTCAACGTGCGCGGAGGGGTGGATGAAGACAGGCGGTATGACGTTAGGAGAAGGCTTCGCAAGTTCGTTCGACTCGGTTTGGTAGGCCTTCTGCAGGTATAGCGCATTAGCTGGGACGGCGGATCCAGCCGTCTTGATCTGGCGCCAGAAGTCCTTGGTCTCATAGACGAAGAATTGCTTGCTGTCGGCGAGATCGCTCAGGATGTCTTGTTCTAGGCGGATGACTTCATTCTTGCGCTCTTCATCATCGTCGGCCATGAAGCTTGACTCGAGGTTCTCGGATGAGGGATACGACACCAGTCGAGGTCGGTCGGTTCTTCGCTTAATAGCGGTCTTGATGCTCGGGAAGATGGCGTCGACACTGAACAGGTAGACACCACAGTTGATGAGATTTGATATGTGGCTTTCGGGCTTCTCGACGTAGTGTAGCACACGACGAGAGTGCTGATCCGATACGATACAACCAAAGTTGGTCGCAGCATCCTCACTAACCCGTGTGCCTAGAATGACAGCTTCGGCATCCTTGTCGTCGAATAGCTTCTCCATCTCGTTGAGGGGGAAAGAACAGCACACGTCCGAGTTGAGAACGAATATGCGCTCGGGTCGACCCTTGAGGATAGCATCTCGGAAATGGTATAAGCCACCTGCTGTACCTAGCGCTTGGTATTCTCGTAGGTATTTGATAGGGAGATTGGGGAATTCCGAGGCAGCTTCCTTGATGAAGTCTTTGAATACGGATTCGTCATAGTAGCCAATCATAACAACCTCCTGAATGGAGGGCACTTTCGCAATGGCGGTCAAGCAGTGCCAGATGATAGGATGGCCAGCAACGTCGAACAAAGGCTATTATACCGTTTGTTAGTATGGCAAGGGTAATATGTTTTTTAAGGGATGGTCAATGTGCAGACCTTGGGGACATCGAGCGACAGAGGGCGAAACCGGGTTCCTCTAGAAGGACCGCCAACCTGTAGTGAACAGTTGTGATTAGTGCAAGTTATCGTATAAGAGGTGGGGTGTATAATACTAGGATAACAGCTTTGGTACCCTTACTGGGACCATTGGCTTTTTCTCGAATCGGAACCTGAAGCATGATGACCGATAGATGTGTAGGTATATAATAATAAAGTGCAGCTCGGATTCAGGTACAGGCTTAGTTTGGATAAGGGAAGTTTGAAGCCTTGAAATGCAACGACACAAGTTAGCCCAAGATGTTTTTATTTGGCGGGGCAGGAAAGGTTAGGTGTTGTTAGGTGTTGTCTAGCCCCCTGACCTGACCTGACTTGACCTGAAATTCTTGGGTTCATGCAGCTAACAAGGATTCAATTCATGGCTTTTAGGTACTGACATGCGTGCGACATGTGGAGGCACTAATTGGCTTTGGGACCTTCAGGGGATTTTTGGGGTCCGGGTCGGAGGGATTAACTTTACGACCGATTACTAGATAGGTACGTTAGGTACTTGATACTTCTATACCTTAGCTACATGTACCTTGCACATAGTGCCCGATATCTAACATCACTACATGTACTGGCAGAAAGGAGTTTCGGGCTTAATATCATATTGACCTCAGGCACGGAGGAGTCGTGGAGGCTGTGTTGGTTTAGAAGTCTTTGACATAGTTTTATTCATGTATCTATCTCTTCCAGGTGCTCAACCTCAGAACAACTGAAACTCAATACCGTGGTGCAAAAAACGGTTGATCATGTTGATTCGGGTATGGCGATATACCAACCTCAAAATCAGCTAATGCTCCTATGATTTGGTATTGATCCATGGTCGACCCCGGGCACCTTTAAGACCTACGGGGTCTATGATCTATAAAAAAATCTGGCTCATTTATCTTCCGCGCTCTCATCCTTTGCTAGGTCGTGCTCCTTTAAGAGCGCAGTGATCTCATCCGCACTCCAAAGTCGGTGGTAGATCTTACCGTCCTTGGTCTGTCCCACCGTTGCGAACTCGACTAGAAAGCCATGTTAGTATTGTCGAACATGATTTGATTCCTACGGAGAACTCACTCTTCTCACTGCTTAGCTTGGTTGAGTCCATAGTCTTGCTTAGCACCTTGACTGCCATACCGCAGGCCTCCTTCAATGTGCAATCCTCCTTATAGTCTTGCTTCAATAAGCTTGAGGCGCTTGCATTGTTGGCACCGGCACTTGTCGCCTTCCAACCGCCATAGTTACCCGATGGGTTGCTCAGGTAAAGTTGGAATTGTCGCTGGGGATCCCATCCCGCATAGATGAATGATACGCCAAACGGTCGTAGTCCACCGTGTTGGGTGTATCCCTGCTTAAGATCGCATAGTCTTCGCACTAGCTGTTCGCATGGAATGTCTTCGTTGTAGGTTAGGAGATACCGTTGAGCGGCTTGTCGGGCATAGTTGATGAGGATGTTTGCATCGGCTGTCATGCCTGCAACCGCGCAGATCATGTTGCTGTAACCCGTTAGCTTCCACAGGTCAACCTAGATATATAGCTGTGATCCCACTACGCACTCGTTCAAAATGTAGAGCTTCTCCGCTGAGGTATCTTGCTCTAATAGCTTCGACGTAACCTTGCGCTCTGCGGCCAAGACGATGCCATCTTTGGCGAGGATTCCGATCGCAGTTCCGGCGTGGGATATAGCTTCGAGCGCATATTCGACCTGATACAAGCGACCCTCAGGCGAGAAGATAGTGGTCTAATCGAGATGTGAGCCTCTGCGCATAGAATGTTATTAGGGATAGGTAGCTCTTGAGCTTACTCGAGAATCGTAGCGGCGAGACATGGTGGGGAATCTGGCCGTGAAAATCAAGAATAGAATTTTATTCCTAGCCTTGAAAATAAGGTGAGCTGACGAAGGCCAGTTCGTTGTTGGTAGAAGTCGGATTAGTGGTGTTTGTATTAAGTATCAAAGCTCCGACGTTGGATGCTACCACGAATTGATAATGTTTCTAGGAAAGGCTGGGGGCTATTGAACTAAGGCTAACAGCTAGGCAAGAGCTCCGACGCGTACAATGAGAATAACTTGAAAGCACTGACCCATAAGGCTTAGGTATCTAGGTACCTAATCTACGTGTGTGCGGCTACCTGACGCCTCAGATTGCTGCTGAAGCTACCTCTGTGGCTGGTGCTTCAGTGGTTGTAGCTACTATGAGGTACTTTGTATCTACCGTACCGGGATTACCTGTTTATAAATACGTATTGTTGCATATAAAGTGGTTAGATTTTATAATGTTCCTTAATTAAAAGTCAATATTGCATAATGTTTGATTTTTACGCAATGCTTAAAAAAAGTATAATGTTAATAATATTAACAATAATTAATATTTTAAAAAAAATCAAAAAAATCAAAAAAATTACTTTTTTTTTTTTTTAAATAATTTCCGAAACGTAACATTTACCATTATACCATTTTACTTTATTAATTATGTAAAATTTAAACTTTATATATAAAAAACATAATTTAATTGTTAAAATGGTAACAATATTACCGTGTATTACGTAATACGAAAGGTAAGAAATAACAAGGTAATTCGAATAAAATGGTTTAATTAATTATATTTAATTAAGTAAAAAAAAGTGGGAGATTTATTAAATGGGGAATATTTATTTACATGTGTATAGGTTAATTTTTAAACGGTGTGTATGGGCACAACCTTAGTCATGTGACATGGTCACATGACCGGTGTCCCATTAATATTATTAACGTTACATTTTTTACAACCATTACGCAAAAATTAAACATTATATAATGATTAAAAAACATTATAAACTTTAAACATTTTAATATTATAACGGTTAAGTTTTATTATATTTTCCCGTTATAATAAATATTTAAAATATTAAATTATTATTATTTTATTATTTTACGTATTTTATAATAAAATAAATGTAATAAATATTATGTTTTATTTAATTTACGATTTATAAAATAAAAGTAATTAAATATATAAATAATAAATTATTTTAATAAATTTAAATTATAAATTTAAAATTATTTATATAATTATACTTTTTTTAACCATATAACTTTTTAATTAATTATAACTTTAATATAATTTTAAAAATAATTTTAAATCTTTAATTTAAAATAATTCGGGTAATTTTTATTATAATTATTATTTAACATTAAAAATAATAATAATATTAACGCATTTAAAATAAATTTTAATTAATTTAAAATATTTATTAATTTTATTATTAATAAATATACGCGTTTTAAACGTTTTAAATTAATAATTAACCGTAATACACCGGTTATAACATTAATTATAATATTAATTATAACGTTTTTAAAAATATATTATTAATTTAAACGTTAAAGTTTATAATATTATAACGTAATGTTATATAAATATATAAAATAATAAAAAAGTTTAAATAATTAAATTATTAATTTTAAATAAAAAAAAAAAATTATTTTATACGTGGTTATAAATGTAAACACGTAAATATAAATAAAATTTCATCGACGGACAGTCGCAAGCTCCTAATCCGTCTCGAAATTTTGTTATAAAAGGTGGGGGCCAAAAGGGGATTAAGGGCCAAAAGGGGGGGGGGCAAAAAAAAAAAAAAAAAAAAAAAAAATGGGCGGCATAGCTTTGGGAAAAAAAAGCGCCAAA